AAAAAAAAAAATTGAGAAACGTAAAATATTTTCTAGTCCGGTTATCTGGTATATTAACCCGATTAGATAACTATTCGAATTTTAATCAGGACGCTAAACGTCACTAGGTACGAATATCGTGTGGATGTTCAATTCAGTTCTGTTCGTATAATTTGTTTTATGAGTGATCCTGGTCTGATCCAGGTGATAATAGAATTKTGTGGTATTGCATTTGGTAAATTTTGTTAACGATCAACATTTTTAATGTTCCAAGCATATAGATAATCATACGTCATATTCATTCATCTTAATAAAATATTGTAAAATATTGCTTTTCGCATAATTTAGCTTTAAATATATATAAACTTATGTATATATATATATATATATATATATACATAAGTTTATACACTATAAATACTGCGTATTTTAATTTTTTTAAATGTTTATAAATTCCGCTAATTTTTAGTTGTGCAGTGTTGTGTTCTCCGGGATGAGTCTATAAATACATTTTTTTTTATGAACATTTTTTCGTGATAAACTATATCATAGTATATATTTGAACGCGTTCGATGTAAAACGAAATCATTTCGAATGAAAACTTTGACTTAATTATAATAAAAGTTTAATATACCTATAGGTTAATCGACCAATCATCAAATGGTAAATATTTGTGCTATCTGTCACAAAAATTAGCGTTTCAATAGTGTTTTTTAGGTATGTGCTGTAATCAATCATCGGGAAATCAAATACTTTATAATATYATAGCCTTATATCAATACAATTTTATTGTTATTTTATATACAGATACCTGCTTACCATGGCGTAGAAAATCAATCACTCGCATCTGATTTGATTTATGTTATTATTATTATTTTTTTTAGGGAGAGACTTATACACTCGATGATATCATACTGCATCTGTATTTTCATTTACGAAAACCATTTTAATTTATTCGGAATTCGTAAACGAATACCGTACTCGCATGTCTCCAATAACGGAGCACAGCATTATATATATGCAAAAGAAAAAAATACAATTGTATTTTCATTTCGTAGGATTTTTTTTTTTTTTTCGTAAATGATGATTCAGTATTCATAAAAAAATATTTAAAAAAAAAAATAAACGAAGTGCAAACAAAGAGCCTTTTATCTTTATTCAAAATACGGTTTTGTATCACTGACTCATCTCATCAGCGTGCTTGTCACTATTGAAAATAATTTGTATTTAAAGTTCACGTTAGCATACATATTATAACACTCCAAACTCTCTGCAGAACAACGACCAAAAAACTCGAAAGAACTTGAAAACATTATATACTGCCTACGAAATGTTCACATTACGCTACAGCACATGAATAGATGAATTAAAGTTATTGTTTTTCTTTGTAAAAACGGAGTTTGCGAGGTTCAGATAATAATTAAAAGTCTCTATATTATAATATACTACCATGCTATAAAAGTCATTATTGTTTGTTTGTTGTAATATTATGGATCGGTTCTGTTGACCATACAATTTGTATTCATTATAATATGTTGAATGATAAATTTAAAAATGTTTTTATTATTGTTGCTACTTATATTACTATTATTATTGTCCGTTCTTATTGTTGCATTTCAGCACAAAGCAAAATTTCTTTTTCCTCGGTATTCGCAATGTTTTGATGGTTTTGTAGGAGACCAATATGTTCACCGAAACGAATATATTCTCAGATATGTATATATATGTATATTTTTTTTTTTGAAATAATTTTTTATTGCAGGGTTGTTTTATATTTTTTATCATATTTTCCTCCTTAAACTGTGTCTGTCGGATCAACGAATATCTTACTTAAACAACATTTCGTGTTTTAAATTAAAAACCTTATAATCGTCAATTTACTTATTTTTGTCATTTTCGGTTTTTTCGTTGTTAACGCACAACCATATCTCTATACCTATACGCAATTTTATCAATATCACTTAATATAAATATATTCAAAACAATAATGGTATTTAATTTGCAGAAACCCTCAATATGACTGTCATATCAATTTTTTTTTTTCATTTTTGTACACAAAACGTATATACATTTATATTTTATCAATAGCGAATAAATATTGAGCGTACTATGTTTAGGTTAGGTTATACATTTACTATTTATTACATATATATGTATAGGTACTATACATAATATGTCACATGTGATGTATACTATTTTCTAGAATCTTGTGGTACTTAAACAATTTTATTTGTTTATTTGTTTTGTTTTGTTTTTTTGTCCAAGGACAGAGTCATGTAAAGTTTCCATTTCTGTTCAAAATGATGKAATAAATTCCATACGGAATGCGAGTGAACGTGTTATTTACATTTTATATTTATAATATATATGAACCTATTTATGTGTCCTATAAAATTAAATAATTACATTTTTACATTTTGTTTTTGTTGTGTAGACAAAACATGATTGATTTAAATTACTCTCTCGGTAGGAAATTCGATTAAAAGTTAAAACCGAAAAAAAATGTTTATTCGAGGTTATATTATACATTTTGTATGCGTAAACATATTATATAAACCGTCGAAATCGTTGTTTAAACTATAATAAGGTACGTAGGTACTTACTACATAAATAGGTTCATAATATACTAAATATTTTATTGTATCTATAATATAACACAGCGGGAGAATATTGTACACGTGGTTATATGTACGTAAGACGTTATATATATAGTATAAATCTATGAGGTAAATTTGAAAATAATAAAATGAAAAGTGAAACACTATAGGTGCGAGTGAAGAAAAAAATCGATACGATCGCGATGTTCGTAATATATGTCCGCCATATTTTGGCTTGATTATTAAATAATGCGAGCGTAAAAATTCAGACGTCTCGGATGTAGGTACATGAATATTAATTACATGGTTTATTAGTTTACTTGCATATTGTGTACCTACATATATAGTACCTATACATAATACTAATTTCAAACGTTCTGCCCTATACCCTCGCGGTTTTTGTTTACGTTTAATATGTTTTACCTACGTTATAACAACAATTTCGGACTTTGCAGAACGTTACGGGCTAATGGACGTGCGCACTTTTATTTGCTTAGTTATTTCCAGTCATCCCACAACAATAAAAATATCCAACCGTAGACTGCTGCCATAATATATAGGTATAGGTAAATGTATGTTCGTGTATAGGTATAAAAACCAACGGCGCACATGTATATAATAATATACGAAAGTTACAATGTGTGTACACACTCGCGTACAAAAACTACTTCACAATACGTATGTCCATTATTCACAACAGTATAATAATGTATGTACATGCCTAAATAATTGTCATTAGTTGAGTAAAAAACAGATTAATTGTTTCTTTCCGAAACCCAAATATGTCTAAACCTCTCGTATATGCATATTGTACGTATATATATTTATACTATAGTACAATATGTATATAAAACCTAATGGTTGACGCATGTCCTCCCCGACCCAAAGTGGTGAAAAGAAAACCGTTTTCGCGCATGCGTCTTATTAAAAAAGCATTATAAATATAATTATATTTATATGTATATACATATTACATATTATATTATATACTTCACGAACTTGGCTAGTTTACACGTCTAAGTGAAAAGTTTTAATCGGCATGCTGCATACACTGCAGTGATGTGTGCCTATATATATACGCACATCTCCGCTGCCGAAATCCTCTCATAAACAATTATTCAAAATCACGCCCGTTAAACAGGGACAGGTGTTGTTTTAATCGGATGTGCGGATTTCTGAACAAGTCGCGTTCCTCCGGAAAGGACCGCCACCGGATGCAGATCATATTATTTAAACGAGAAAAGGTTGCTGAGCAAAAGTTCACACATTTCCATACACGAGTTGCAGCGTGCGAGTTAGCGCGCGCGCGTGTGAGCGAGTGTGTGTGCGTGTTTGTGTACTTTTAAGCCTTGGCCAGTATTTTGTATATATGTATTTTTTTTTTTGCTTATACGAGCACAAAGCTCGAAATTAATATTTTTTCACCCCAACTTCACTTTTTTCTTTCTCTCTCTATCGCCCTTTTCACAAAAAATAAATATATATGTATATATATTGAACTATAAAAAAAAACCTGTGTGCATAAATATATTGTTATTTACATATTGAGCAAAACGACCGTAGAACGGTGGGGAAAATATTGAAAACAGTAATCGACCGAAACCTTCACATGAATTTGTATGAATAAAAACGTAAAGATAAAAATGAATAGATATTTCTTCAAATATATATATATATATATATGTATATTATATATCCTCCTGTCTCCTTCAAAAATCCCACATTACATTTGTATAACATCTTCGTCGTACATTCGTGTGTGTGTGCGGCGTGCGCTAAGGATATATGCTGGTGCGTTCCATTCGCACAAAAGCCACTCTCTATATATACGACGACGTTCCCATTTCGTTGATTAAACCTTACCGGAAAAATTTCTTACTGTATTATTATTATTTACGGCACGCGTGCTCTCCTTAAGTAGCATCCGGCTCAGTGCAATTCCTTTTAAGAACAAAAAAAAATAACAATATACAAACACATATACCTAATATCCGTATATTTTATAATAGCACCCATGTAGTTTATTATGTCAATTATACTATATTATATTAAATTATAATCTCGTCTTGTCTTATTTCTTTTTTCAGGCCGAGATATGGAGCGTTTTCATTGCCATCCTGAGAAAATCTGTTAGAAATCTGCAAGCGTGCACCGACGTCGGACTAATTGAACTGGTCGTGAACAGACTAGCGCGTGCCGACACCGTCGTAGCAGGTAATAATACGACGAATAACGAGAATATTGATGTCTTATTCAAATACATTGACATCGACACCATTAACTAATATACTATAAAAAATCTCACTACTAACAAATACTATATTGTAAATATTACAATATTACTGTGGTAGATCTGTGAGGCGCGGTCGTACGCTCAATCTGCGGAAACGCACTGCAGAGCGTACGTACCGGCCGCAGTTGCTAGCTCCCGGATGGGTGACCCCCCCGGGATTATTTTTAGCAACATATCCTTGACACACAAACACGTGTTATAACCCCTACCCACTTAAAAACCTACAAACAAATATATAAAAATAACCCCTACTGTACCACCTTACACCCAATGACCTATGTTGCCGCGGGTTCGGCCCCTTAATAAAAAAAAAAATAAAATAAAATATTACTATACTAACCCATAATCATGTAATCCCAACTATAACTTAATTGTACATAACAATGTAAACCTACCGCAGGCTAATGACCTTGTTTTTGAAGCCTTATTATCAATTWAAAAAAACCGGGTAAGTCGTGGATGTCGCTCTGCTGTACTGTAGGTTACTGTAATGGATGGGATTAAATTTGAATGCAATGATAGGTATCATTGTATAC